CCAGTTTTCCCATCTGCCCCTTTTCTTTGTTATAAAAAATGTTATCAAGAAGAAAAGAAGAGAAAAAAAAAAAGGAGAAACAATTCCCATACCCCACAGTACTAGGAGCCTGGCACCTGGGAAGGAGAGTTATTTTGGGTTAGTTTTATCTAAAGGCCTTAAAAGGTCTCTGGGCACACATACAATTTTTAATTGCATATTTTAAAAGTTTCTGCCTCTTGAAAAGGCTGTTTTAAATTGTCTGCACTCACGGTCTGCTCACCAAACTCTCCAGTGCAGTCCAGAGGCTTGTAGGAAGCTTGACAAACTACGCTCTGTCAGTGTGGCTAACAAAGCCCACACCGAGCGGAGATTCACCAGGAGCTTCGTCAGCTGAGGCACCAGGAGGGGGATCTCAACAGCAGGAAGGGTTTGTGAGGACAGAGCTACCAAGGCAATTATCAGACGGAAAACAGAAGACAGGTGAGACAACCCCAAAAATTTACTTTCAGGGTTGGGGCATGAATGGTCTATGTTCTTCAGGCAGAGACTACGGAGTAGTTCAGGGAGCTTGAAGTGAAACACACCCAGTAAAGCAGAGACATAAACGGCTGTCATCATCTCAGTGAGCCCCTCTCTGATAATCTTAATAAAAACTGCAAAACGTGCTCCGGCAATCCCAACCCCCACCTCCTGCTATACTCTTCCTATCATCTACTGCTGCCTGACACAGTACAAATCTTACTGGTTTGGCTTTTGACTTCTGCTCCCACCCCCATGCATGAAAGACGTGGTCAGGCGTGTGCACACGTGCCAACAGAATGAAAACCCCATGAGGGCGGGGATTTCTGCTTGTATAACCAGTGCCTAGAATACTACCAGTCCCTGGTGGCGCAAACGGTTAACACGCCCAGCTGTAATCAAAAGGTTAGTGGTCTGAGTCCACCCAGAGGCGCCTTGGAAAACAGCCCTGGAGATCTAATTCCAAAAAATCAGACACTGCAAACCCTATGGAGCACGACTCTACTCCAACACATGTGGGGTCGCCATGAGTCAGAATCCACCCGATGGCAACTGGTATGGTATGCTATGGTACAATACTATCAGGAACATTAACGAGAACCAAAATTTTTGTTGAATGAATAAATGAACGAACAAGTGCACAAAAATAAAATTTAACATGTCTTTGAGAAGGCTGAAAAGACGTGGTTGGGTGTTTGAGCTTTTCACCCTTATTACAGGCAAAATTACAAAATGTGAAAACGTGCCTGGCAGTTTATCTGAATGAGTTGGTTTTTTAAAAAAGCCCATTAGCATATTCTGCACTTAGAATGTTTTCAACTTCATACAGACATGAGCGGAGCTTTGAAATTACACCACTGATTTCCTTTTCCAACATTTAACTAGGGAAGGAAGATCAGAGGGTTTCACATTTATGCACATTTTATTACTTTTTATGTGTGGGTGGGTCATTAGGTAATGTAGTTTTTGGAAAGAAATGTTTTTATCCCCTCAAGCAGTGGGATTTGAAGCTCTCTGCTGCAGCCCTGTGGTACATGTACTTTTTAAAGAGATCCTAAACTCTCTGTTGACAAGTCACCAACTTTAACACTTGCTCGTGTATGACAATGACTTGGGTAGCTTATTAAAACGTGGGCCCACCCTAGACTCACTGAGTCAGGATTCTCTGGGTCTTGACTCAAAACCCTGCACTTGAACA